GAGAGAGAGAGAGAGAACAGGGACTAAGTTGGCCTACCATGTTTTTAGTAATTTCCCCACCGACATTTTTATATCATCATCATTGTTAGAGCCTTTTCCTAACTATGGGTCAGCTACACGAATCTTATTCCATCATTCTTCTCCATCAAGTGCGATATCCTTTGTAAGACCATAAGTCCCCATATATTTTCTCGCTACTTTCATCCATATCCTTTTAGGTCCACCTCATTCCCTTTTAGAACATTCTACCCAAACCAACTTGCACCTCATAACAGGTATTGTATTGGGCCTACATTACAACCCACCTAAGTCTACTTTCCCTCATCTAATCGCCTATTGCAGCCACACTTAAGTTCTCTCAAATGTATTTATTTCAAATTCTATCATTTCTAGTCTTGCCACTCATCCCCCTCAATATCCCAATCTCAGATACACACATCTTATGGTTATATTGTTTCTCGACTACCCAGCATTCTGTCCCATAAAGCAAAGCTGGTCTTATAGCTATCCTAGAGAACTTTCAACTTCTCCTTCTGCTTAACTAGTATATAGCGATTACATAAGAATGTTGTTGCACATCTCCACTTGGAACACCTAACTCTAATTCTATGTGTGATATCTTCCTCAAGCTCTCCATTTTCATGGATTATCGACTCAAGATATCGAAAATGCATTCTTTTACATATTTCTTGGCTATCAATCTTAACTACTTCCCCGTCTCTACTCCTATTATTACTAAACTTGCATTCCATATACTCTATATTTGTCCGGCAAATTTCAAAATCTTTAGATTCTAGAGCATCCCTATGTTGACGCTGCTTCTAGTCTCATCGATTAAAACTATATCGTCCACGAATACTACATCGTCCACGAATAACATACACCATGGCACATTATCTTGTAGGTGCCGAGTAAATTCATCTATAACAAAGACAAAGACGTATTAGCTCAATGTTGACCCCTGATGTAGACCTACTTTCACTAAAAAACTCACTTGTCTCTCCGTTAGTTGTCCGCACAGTAGTTAGCGCTCCCTCATACATATCTCTCATCATGTCAATATAGCATCTAGAAACCCTTTCTTTTCCAACACCCACCAAATTAAATCTCAAGGTACTCTATTGTAAATTTTTTCTAAATCAATAACGAGCATATGGAGGTCTTTTTCCTTAGCCCTGAACTTCTCAATCAGCTGCCTAAGTAGGAAAGTCGCCTCAGTTATTGACCTCCTTGGCATAAAACCAAAGTAGCCATCTGATATACTCGTTTCATGCCTTAGTCATTGCTAAAATCACTCCCTCCCACAACTTCATAGTGTGGCTCATAAGCTTGATCCCTCAATACTTTGCACAATTTTTTATGTTTCATTTGTTTTTGCAAATAGGTACCACAATACTTTTTCTCCATTCATCTGCCATTTCTTATGTTCTCAACACTTTTGTTAAACAACTTGGTCAGCCAGTATATGCCAATCTCTCCCCCATGCACTTCCAGACCTCTATTGGGACAGCATCTAGTCTCAAAGCCTTTCCTATCTCCATCTTCCTCAAAGCTTCTTTCACTTCCGATATCCTAATCCTGTGAATAAATCTATGACCTTCACTCTCATTTATCCCAAAGTTCCTACAACTATTGTGTTCTCACTATTCCCAAATGCAAGTACAACGCGTCACTTATAGGGAACGCCCTCGCATGAGCAGATAACATAGATTCATTTTTTTATAATAAACTCAATCTTTTCTTTTTCCGACACAACATTGGTGGATTTACTAGCCCACCAGAAGTTTGTGAAAAGAAAAGAAAACTTGATGCTATAAAGTCAGGGATCCCACTCAAGCTTAAACAGTAGGTAAAGAATGTCGTGTTAGTATAGGAAACTCACAATGCAGATATGAAAATGTTTCAGTGTTTTTCTTTTTCTTTTTAAGTGAAAGAAATGAACATGTTATTCCAATCCTGGGGCATACATGCATTTCTACATCAAAAACCTAATCTGATAAATTTCAGTATAAAAATCAATATCCTGTATGATATTGACATGCCGTCATTGGCTTTGTAAAATAAGCGCCAATCAGATTTATGGCAGCACGTCTAATACAGGAGTTTGCAATAGCACAAAATTTCCTGCTCAGGAGTACAACTTAGGTAGTTATAGCTGTGGAGTATAGAGTTATTCAGAAAGAAGATTAAACAGAAAACCAAAATATGTAGCCAAAAAGTGCCAGGCATAAATTTTTTTGATAAATTTGATTATAATGTTAAAGTATATGTAACAAGAAATTGGCCGTGTGCACGCACACACACACATAGAGAGAGAGAGAGAGAAAGAGAGACACCCTTGCCTTCTGGTTTTAAGGTAGGCCATGGCTCTATTTGCATAAGCAACAGCTGATGGTGATAATGCAATGCTTCTTGAATAGCATTCAATTGCATGTGCATACTTTTTTTGCTTGAAATAGTCATTTCCCTGGAGAAAGGAAATCAAGTTCAGCTCAGTATGCAAGTTTTGGTAATAGATTGAGATATAGTTAATTGGAAAGCTAATAATGCATACCAGTTCCTTTTCTGATGTCGCATTTGGAGTATCCTCACTTGATAAACTTCTTGAATTGCTGAAATAGCTATAGTTTGTAAAGTCACTGCAACCTAGGATATCCTTTTGATCAACTGTAGCAGATTTCATTGATTGGCCTTTTCTTTCAGTTCCTTTACCAGTCTTCCTAGCACCAAAGTCCTTCAAAAAATGTTTACTAAGATGCCCAAAAAATTTGGACTATAATTCGCCAAATAATAGGAAACCAATCAAAGTACTAGTAGATTAGAAATTTTACAATTCTACACGCTATTGTTTCCACGGGCTATAATCCACTGGGGTCATCACCATCCAATGAAATGATGGATGGCAAGGGAGAGAGATTGGGGCCCACCAGTGGGCTCTAAGAGTAGGACAGACATGGATCATAAGAAGTATAGGTGACCGCAACAGAGATTTTATAAATACCCCCCAAAGATTGGAACTTAACAAGTGCCAACAGAGATTTTATAAATACCCTCCAAAGATTGCAACTTAACAAGTGCAAACTGCAAGTAGATGCTGCCATGCGCATTGAGAAAGACTAATCAGTTGGGTGATATGTATTTCATCAGAGGGCTACAAATCACAATCCTGAAATGAGTAGATCACAATAACATCAAACTTGAGCTTGAGTGTTCTATCTCCAACATAAGGATGGATTAAGTGAATATACATTTTCCTTCTTTCTTTCTTTTTTCTTTGGTAAGATATCAGAACATTTTGATTGTTGAAATAAGTGATTCTTTCTTTTAGCTCACCATTGAAAGAATCCATTTGTTTGCAATTTGAAGGTTGGTAAGTTGGCAACCATCATAACAATGTTAGTATATTAAACTACCTGCAATGACAGTAAAATGAGATGCATTGACATTATAGATCTTGAATCTACTCACTGGTTTCCCTATTTTATCAACTTGACCCTTCGGGTTTTTGTCGCTTTCCTTCACAACACGTTCCCAACTTTGTAAATCACTCAGTAAGCCTTGGAATTCCTAAGAAATATCAAAATTGTATTAGAAAGAAACTCATGGACAATCATTACTGAGTGAAAACTAGCATGTACTGGAAGCTTAAATAAACCACAATTTCCACATGCTGCATGACAAAAAAAACGAAGAAGAAACCAACTTATAAGAAACTGATTCTTGAAACAGAAACTTATTTCTCTTTACTCTCTTTTTTTTTGGAGAACTTTCCTTTACAAGTTCACTTATATTCTATATAACATCCACAACTAAGCAGTATCTAAACAGCTTAAAGGTCATATTAAGGATAATATCATCATTTCGAGATCAATAATCATTTTACATAAAATGAAACTTGCACATAGACTTTGAAGGAAAAACAAAAAAGTGTCCATTTACTGCTTGACTGTACAAAAGATCAACAAACTATTGTGAAATTCGGAATTTGGCTCCTCTCCATGCTAACTAACTTGCCTCGACAAATCAGCCATCATGCAAGCATTATATGAGCTCACAAAGATTTCAAAATCTTGCATTTCATTATCTTGGAGACATAAGTTTGGGTTCATAAAATCATGGTTACAGACCAGTCAAGTGCAAATTGTTTTGAGGAATTCGTACAAACAATTTTCAACAATCCTTGAATGTTTGGAATAACGTTTATCCATGAAATAATCCCCATCCCCCTCCTGCAAATCTCTATAGACATCCCACTTCTCTATTCACTAGACCACCCATCAATTCATGATGCAATTTCATATAGTAAGGAAGAAAATATTCACTAGACCCATCAATTCATTATGCGTGAGGAAAAAATAAAAATGAAGCATCAGTGTTGAGAAAACAATCCTTTCACGTATTAATTTACTGGCATCAATGAGCAAATCCACCATTTAAATTCACATTCCTACTTATCTATGGAGTGATTGAGTGAAGATATGAATGAGTTAGAGAGAGAGAGAGACAGCATTCATAAAATAGAGTTAGAATTGGAAATAGACATGCATTTTTTTTAACATAAATTGGAAATAGAGAGATTCATCGTTACTTGGAAATGAGGAGAGAGAGATTCATCCGTATAGACTTAGACAAGACAGAGAGGGGAGAGAGACCAACATACCTCACATAGAAAACCCACTTAAACAAGCTCTGCAAATAGAGACTACAAAATCTAAAGGGAGTTCACAATCTGAACTTCATTACTGTATTAGACGGGAATTCTTCCCTATATAACCCTAATTTCCAAAAAAATATAGAGATTAAATATGAGTTTTGAGAAGTGGATTACCAGGTCATGGTCCCGGACATTTTTATTTGAGGCCTGAGCCATAGCTCCTGATCAATACTAATCCATCAGCAATCAATGAGATAATCAAATTTCAATAAGAGAAGCCATTGATAAGGAACAGTAAGAGAGAATCTAAAAAAATCGGCAACAAAAAGAAGAGAAGGTACCTTCTTTAATGGCGGGAGGAATTCTCCTTTTCAACCTGCTAAGTTTTGAGCTCTCTACTTGTGAGGGCATGATTTGGGACCCTTCGGGAACATGTATATGTTACGGACTTAAGTGAATGTGCTCCGCTAGCATGATCCCATAGTACCATAGTGTACATGTGCTCTGGTGGCTAATCGCCTTTTGTTGTCCTGAAATTCTTTCATGCGAAAGACTCTTTTTTCTTTTTCTTTTTTAATATATTAACGATGGGAGACTCTACTCGTTTTCATTAATAATGAAGGAAAGAAAGAATACAAGACTCATGTTACAATTCTTCGGTATTTAGTATTAGCCATTGTAAGAAAAATCGAACCTTATTGGCCATATAAGAGGAGATCCAGTTGGAAAATCCAACTACAACGGTTAACCAGACATGGGGTGGGGGAGCGGTTCAACTGACTTAACCGGTAAATCAACAAGTTCAACCAGCCTAATCGGGTAAGTCTTGATTGGTTAAAAAAATGTTAATTTTAAAAAAATATATAAAATTTTTTAATAAAATATAAAAGATATATTTAAAGAATGATTAAACAAAGCACAACCAAATAAAATTGAAAATTAATAAAAAAAAATATTTTAAAGAATCAATTGAAATTTTCTAAAAATAATGAAAAGTGTACAAATAAGTATTAATTGCCAAAACAATTTCTAATATTTTGTCAAAATGAAAAAAAATATTAAAAAATACATTATAAATAAAATCTCTTATTTTTTGAGATTTTATATTTTTTTATGAATTTTTTAAAAAATACCTTATCGATTCACTAAAACCGACTGAAACTAGAACCCGCTAATTACTTGGTTCCTATCTAGCTAAGCGATTAAGATTTGAAGCACCCGATTTTTCCTGCACTACGCCAAACCATTGGCACAGAGGGAGTTGTAGCTCTTTTTTGGCCAAGTCAAGTTGGTCTTGCGATAAGTCACCTGCCACCATGTTGATCTTGCGATAGATGTGTGAAATGCTCCTGGTACGACCCACAAGGTAGCAAAAAAGGCAACAAGAAAGCCACTATGCCGTTCTGACGATACCACCATAACCAGCTATTCCAATATTGTCTAGGGACAAACCATCTGTGGAGTTTGTAGTGGAGGGTAGGACCAATGTAGAAAAAATTGGGTGGGTTAAATTCTAACCACCCGGTTAGATTAGAACCGGCCAGTGGCTGGTTCCGATTTTGGTGAACTGATCAGGTATTTTAAAAAAAAATAAAAAATTATATAAAATCCAAAAAATAGGGTATTTTGTTTGTAATGTATTTTTTTATGTTTTCCATCATTTTGGTGAAGATTGGAATTTGTTTTGGGTATTAATACTTATTTTTATATGTTTTCTATCTTTTTTAAAAAAATTCATAAATATCCCGAGGGACAAATCGGTTCTTTAAAATCTATTTTTTTCATTAATTTTTAACTTTATTTGGATGTACTTTGTTTAACCATGTTTTAAATGTACTTTTAATATTTTATTACATATTTTTTTTTGTATTTGTTTATTTTTTAACATTTTGTTTATCGCCTTGAGCTTGCCCAATTAAGTTGGTTAAACTGACTGGTTTACCAGTTAGTATTGATTAACCGCTTTCGGTCCCATATCTGGTTAGCCATTCCAACTCAATCTTTCCTACACTTAAGGTAAGACGTTACGTTAAGGAGATAAGCTCAAGACTATTTTAAAACCCCAAATTTTGGGGATGTGACCCCCTAAACCTAGTGATTAACCTAAAAAATAGAATATATTCAAATTACGCACATGGACTCTATGATATTAAAATTTAAAATGTATTTTTTAGAAATCATATTAATTTTTATTTTGAGTGATGTAGAAGTCGTATTTGTAATTTTGTATAATAGGATGCTATGAAACTAGTATGTAATTAGTAGTTATTGCTACAAGTAGGTAATTATTGTCGTAATTGGGTGGTTATTGTAGTAAATATGATTGCAAGAACCTTTATTTAAAGATAAGTGTATTACAGACAAATGAGGTCACATGTATCAAATTTATAAAGTTTTTTTTATACCCCATTTTTCATTATTGAATGAAAGTTTTGTCTTCCATTTGATCTTAATTGTTATTCTTCTATCTCTTTGGTGGTGAGTCTTGGGCCAGTGTGATATTATTATACTAAGGGGCTGTTTGGGTACGGGAAATGTATTAAGTGATAATAGGTTACAAGGAAATATGACATTTACACGGGCTGGGTACATTTTAATAATAAGGAGATGGAAAGACATTACGTGAGATTTTCTCAAAAATCATGAAATCCATTACACGCAGTGAGTGGTGAAAAATCTATTACAAGGTTGACGGGTAATCTTTGTAAATCTTTCGCGTACTCCTCTCTACCCTGTCCCCGTTTAACAAAGCATTTCCCTCTCTTACGTATACACTGTATTATATAATCATTACGGTAATTAGAAAGTGAAAGTAGGGATATAAAAAGGGGACTCTAAATTGATTTGAACAGGTGTACGAAGACAATTTTCCACTGCAATCATAATAAAAAAATTCTACATCCCTCTATCTCTAATTTTAGTTATAGCCCTCATCTGACTCTTATATAAAAACAAATTTTTTTAATAATTGGTAGGTGAAAGTAAAGGGAAATCTAAATTGATTTTGACCATTGTAGAACTAGATGATGGACAATTTTATACTGATATCTTAATAAAAAAAATTCTACATCCCTCTATCCCCAATTTGGGTTGTAGCCCGCCATGAGAAAATTTCACACAACATAATCCTCATAAGACATTAGTAAAAGCTAAATTGAAGTAAGATACCTCTTTAGTCTCCTCCAATGTTTCAAAATTTTCTACTGCAATTATCTAACCTTCTAGTTTACTAATCAATTTTTTTCCTATTTTTTAACTTGTACCATAAAGATTTTGATTTTGGTATCATAAATTTATTGCTTATTTGAAGTTATATATAGAAAGACATTTGAAAATTTTTTATAAAAAATAAATAAAAATAAGGCTTATTACAATAAAATCATATCATTCCAACGACTTATCATGTTGAAACCAAAGTCTAATCATGCTAGCCAAACATAGCTATATTTTTCATATTTGGATAGTAATGCATTTCTCATATTTCTTCCCGACATAATCAAACAAATACCAATGTATTTCCCAAGTTGTATCTAAATACTACCCAAACAATGATAATCCATTTGCAGGTAATGTATTACGCCCGTAATATATTTCACAGACAATGTATTTCCAGGTATCCAAACGGCCCCTAATTGAAAAGTAGATTGTTTCGGTATTGTTGCATCAGTCTTTCTCCAAATGGTCTTAGAGCGACAAAGGTGGTAGTGATATTGTCTTGACTCACTTAGTGAAGAAGATCAATTATTTTTTTGAATATGCGTTCGGTTGGAAAGTCGAATGGTTTTAGTATTGAGTTGATCCAGAAGAACCTATTTCAGAGCCATGAATGAAGCGGCATATCATTTGTCAGTTAGAAAGTGAGTATATCCCTTATGTTACTTCTATTCAAGGGGGGCTTAACAACCAATCCTTAGTTGGAGTTTGAGAATCTCCTTAGTGGCCCGTCAAATGGCTGAATTTTTTATTTTGGAAAATGATGGAGATGATCACAATACACTTAGAGTTAAGCCTGTTCTCTTTTTTAGAAAATCACTTTAAGGGGGGCTTTTTAAAATTGTTCAAGTGTATTTTCTAGAAATCATAATAGTTTTTATGTTATTTTGAGTGTTATGGTGATGTTATATTTGTAATTTTGTGAGTGGGTAGTTGTTGCAGTAAATTGCCGGTAATAACCTCTATTTAAAGAGATGTGCATTATGGAAAAATAAGGTCACATGTATGAAGTTTGTAATGCTTTTTGTGTGTGGCATTTTTCATTATTGAGTGATAGTTTTGTCTTCTACCTCATCTTGATTGTTCTTCTACTATCTTTTTAATAGTGAATCTTAGGCTACCGTGACGTTGTTACTCTAATTTGAGAAGCGAATTGTTCCGGTAATAAGTCATCCGTCTTACTCCACATATGATTAACCTAAAAAGGAAAAGAAAATCAAATTGCACACATAGACTTTGCCTAGAGAAAATAATATCCCATATGCATCAAGAATTGTCCAATTTTCGAAGGCTAAAATCTACCTGTTGAAAAACTCAAAATTTATTCTTTAGAATATCATCCGGTGATTTTTTACGAATCCCAAAACAGATAAAAATATCCACCCAAACAGCTCTTTTGCTCTAGGGGGTAAGTTAACAATATTGCTCCAGCCGGATCATATTATACACATTCTTTTTTCAAGTCTGAGTTGATTCAAGCCACAATTTGAATGATTTAGTTCTCAAAAACCTAGTTCTAATAAAGTCAATCTAGGAGGGGGGTAATACTTTTTAAGTTACAATTCATTTCTTATCTCACATTGATTATTGGGGTCAATAAAAGCATTTTGAAAGTTTGGGATAAATGATGACATAAATGTTGAAATTAAAATCCAATATTGTTGATCAGCCAGATTTGTTTTGTGGACAAATCTCAAATGTTGGACCCTTACAACAAATATCAAATAACATTAGGAATTAGAGCCACATAGATGATCACCTAAACGCACTATAATCGGCCCTTTTCGTGTCCTTTTAGTAATGTCATTGCAAAGTCTAATGGTAATTACCCTTCCAAAAGACATTCGCCTGCACATAAAGGATGGAGCTTTTAATGTATAAATTTTCATTTTGTTTAAGTTTGCATTTCTTTATTTTAATTTTTATAGGTAGTTTAGTGATAGAAGT